TAAAATATCTCATGGTACTGTATGGTGCTTGGAATAATCTGTCCTCCAAATGGTACTTATCAAATGTGGGATCTAACAGGATTACATGTACAATGTGACTAAAATGTCATGTGACGTGTCAAAAGTTTGCAGTTTATAGACAGCTGCCTTCCTACATGCTGCTCGTCCATTTTTCAGACCAAGAGAATATAAGGATCATACAAGTTAAATACGTATTACTTATTATTTTTATATTTCATCATTATTGTCAACTTTCTATTTTCTATTTATGAATCTTGACTTACAGTACATGTTTTATATTTTTTTTAAATTTTCTAATTATTACTGGTATGTCTAGTGTTACCATATACCAAACCAAATTCCTTGTATGTGTAAAGCTACTAGGCAATAAACCAGATTCTGATTATTTTACTTTTTCCTGTTTATATCACAATTTACCATATTGCAAACCATAATCCTGTGATTTAGAAAATCCATTGTTATTTTGTCCATTGTTTCAGGCATCCATCGGTTTCCACATGTTCTGAAACATATTGAAAAATCTTCAAGTTGTATAATGCCTCATAGTTAACATTAAGTCTGAATTCATTTTTGTTATTGTTTATTCCTGCGATAACGCAGATCAGACTTTTCAAATCAGTCTGCATTTAAAGCTGCTCTAAAATGTATATCTTAACAATGGATGAAATGACTAAGGAGTCACTCGGTTTGACAAACCCAAAGAATGATCACTAACGCTGCAGTTTCCCCCTTTCAGCATCTTGCAGCTCATTGTTTTGTTTTTTCAGTGATATTGCTGGGGAACATACTGGAGCATTTAGCATCTGCGTCAGAGTCTGATGTTTCCCACAGGAGCTGGTAGAGACCAAAACAGAGCTAAAAGCAGAGTAAATATTAGACTAACATTAAACACCTCTCCAAATGAATGAACGAGAAACACAACCCCAAATGAATGCTAATATTGCTCTGTGTCTGCTGGATGTATAAAACGCTAAAGCTCTGGATATACTTGCTTTTAACTACACGTCTGCGTAGTTAAAAGCAAGTATACAAGTAAGCAAGATGGCTGCCATGCCTATCCTGCGTTCCACTGGAGTGTAGGTTGGGCACGTCTCCAGAACTTAACGCTACGCGTCCGCGAGATGCAATCAGCACATGAACATGGGGGCAGAATGTCAATCTGACCGGCAGGTCAGCAGCAATCTACTCCTCCACAGACCAGGCCAGGTGGTGGCGATAGCAGTTGGTTTGCCAAACGCCATTAAACGCAAAAGAAGAAGGAGGTCAGCAGCAGACTTTAAAAAGGAAGATTTATGGCAGGATGTTTACAATAAAACTCCTGGAGCTAATCCGCAATTACAGAGATCGTTATGATGTCTCATTAAAATCAAAACCTTCTCCAGTGTCGCTATGTTTAGTTTGTTTACAATGTGCAAATTTGGAGGTTGTCAAGGAAGATAATCCGGTACACGCAAAGTACGCAGGAAAGTATGTGAACAATGCCGTTTGCGATGCCTATGCCTATCTACGCCTACGCATTGTAAAACAGGAAGTATATCCAGGGCTTAACAAGTTAGCCATACTTTTATACTTTGATAATAAGTCAATGTTGCGCTTGCAACTTGATGCTCTGTTGACAAAGTGAGTCGGAGCTGCTAATATATTTTAATGCAGTATGGATGGACACAAACGTGTGCCTGGAATTGTAGGACAAGCGTTTATTTAAAAACGGCCAGCAAAAATATACTGATGCAGAAACTAAAACTTAAAAACACACTGAATCTTTCGAGCCAATTTAGGTCAATAATTAAATTAATAAAAAATCTACTTTACCTAGATGAAAGGAATTGAGAGATGTTTCAGTCTGACTGGGTCACAATCAATTACTTCACCGAGGTGTTTATATAAGGTCATGGCGTTGGAATTAGCCATAAACTAACCCCGATACAGTTTTATTGGGCTTTATGTAAACACAGGCTGTGTTTGTTTGTTGTAACCATGGCTGATGTAGGTCGAGGTCCAGCATCTTGGGTCCATCACTTTAGCTGACTGTACTTTAATAAACACTCTGTGAGCGTTCTTGGCTCATTCCTGCATCCAACTGTCTTACACAGACACAAATGGACGAGGAGGAAAAATTCAGCACTCTGGTTTTGGCTCACATCCACGTTCCCAGCAGTGGGTTGCTGATGTTGGAGGAAGATCAGGCCTCTGAAGGAACATACCTTGGCTTCTGATTTTTTTGAGAAATACGTTTACATAACCATTGCCCTTATATCAGGCTTATGCAACCACCCTGGATTTTAAAATCACACATCATTCATGTGCCATGTACTTACTACTTTCTTTTTGCAAGTTACATGAGAAAACTGACAACCACTTTTATGTCTGCATGTTTAGTATGTGGCTAGAGCTAGGAGGCAATTAACTTAGCTTAGCATAAAGACTGGCAGCAGGGGCAAACAGCTAGCCTGTCTCTGTCCAAGATAAAAAAAATCTACCGACTCTCATTTGTTTAATCCATCCACAATCAAAAATGTTAAATTGAATCTGTGATTTTAGAGGAAGTTATGGGCTTTCACTAGTTTTGACAAACAATAGTTTATCCATTTGCCCGGCACTTCTGTGCAGCGTCTTCACTGGCTGCATGGCAACCTCACATTGACACGAGATTCTGGAAACTCACTGTGTCCGTCTGTTGGTTGCCAAGAAGTAGTTCCAGCATGTATCTCTGTCTAAAACCACAAAGAGACATTTTTACATTTATGTTAGTGTACTAAGATACAGAGTTTTAGAGTTGTTCATAGGTATGTTCTGAACTTTGGACAGCACTTTCCCCATGCTTCCAGTTTTTACACTAAGCTAGGCTAATCGTCCCCAGGTTCTGGCTTCATACTTCAAGCACAGACACAGGAATGGTGTAGATCTTCTTATCTGAAATAATAAATGTGATCCACTATAAGCCTTTTAATGCTATATTCATCTGTTTATTCATCTTTAATTAAAATCAAAGCACAAATGACTGCAGTAACTTATCTGTCATTAAATTACATAAGTTAATGGCAGTGGCATCAAAGACTTTTCTCAGGGTCCATTTTAGACGTTGTTGTGATTTACTTTGTGCATATGTGCATCTCAAGTCTGAACACAATGTGTAGAAAACCTCTGTCTGTGCTCCTTGTTACACTTCTTAGTTCAATGGTAGAGGTACATGATCAGAGTCAAAAACAGTTACATGATCATCTAATAAATAATGATGAGTACAATGTCTATAAGGTTGGGAAAAAACAATTAGGATTTAGGCACAATTCTGGCTTCATTATGAGATTAATCCCACTGTGGTGTTTGTGGTGATAATGTGGTTTGCATAATGTTAGCATAGTACTCATTATCTGCAAGACTCAAACCAGCAAACGCCTGACATTATCCAATATGGTGGTATGAGCATGTAAAACGTCTGATTTGTGACACCCCAATGGGTGCACATATGAAGAGTGGGGTGAAGAGTGAAAGGGATATTCTAGCCTTTTTTATGCCATTTCACTTTCACACGTTTGAGACCATCTTGATTTGCTTTCACCACAAAATAGGCTGGATTTACTTAGATAAAATTACTTTTCCTTCTTAAATAAATGACTTTATGTACTTGTATCAATTATGGAGGACAAAAAACTGGTCCCCACAATGTATATTATTTATTTTAGGGCTTAGATTTGGTTTTTGAACAAAATCATGAACATGCCACCAACGTTAGGAATCAAATAAACAGGAAATTATTTAATTATAGATTATTATTGTAGTGATATATTTGGGATTCTTTTCTGAAAAGGTATTTTGTGCCAGTAGTGTAATAAAAAGAGAAAAACTAGGACAGAAATCCAATTTGATTTGGAGTGCTGTCCTAGTTTCTCTCTTTTTTATTACTACTAGATTAAGGATCTAGCACCCAGTCTTCAAGATTTAATCATGAGTTGAGCACATTGTGTCTTATTTTTTGTGCCAGTAGTGTATAAATTTTCCAAACACAGGAGTGGGCCAAAATTCTCCAAACACAGGAGTGGAACTTGCATCCCTCAAAAATGGACAAGTCTTAAATTACACAGACCGACATAGGACAAAATATGTTGCTGTGCTCGTTAATCTCTCAGCCAATCTAAAAATGAAAATAGAGTTCTGTTTTTGCTGAATATCCTACTAAATTCTGTATGTGTACAGTGCAGAAAAATGTCTTTTAAAAAGGCCTAGTTAAATGGCAGTTAGAGCATGTATTTCTGCAAGAAACAGAACTGGAATTGGATTGACATGTCTTGTCTGAATACATGAACAGAAAATACTAGCTAACACATTTAGATATTGTCTTGTGTTGGTGTAATCAGGCTTATATCTCCATTTAAGATCAATTGAGAAACACACATAATGGTGATTTTTCATCTATACTGTATGCCAATTCTTCAGGTATATGTCTTATGGGTTCTGTATGTAAGTTTTAGTGGCATCTACTGGTGAGGTTTCCGAATTGCAATCAGTGGCTCACGGTGCATTCACATGCTCCTCAGATGGTCCCATTTACCAAGATGGGAAATCACTACTAACATTACTTCTTGTTATTGTTTCTCTTCTTCGTACGTATTCAATGTAGTGACAAAACGCGCTCTGTAGAGACTTTTGCCCGTTTGGGCTACTGAGGAAACATGGCGGCGCAACGACTTGCTTGTAAGGGAACCCGCAGTGTATGTAGATAGAAATTACTCATTCTAAAGTAATAAAAACATAATAGTTCATTATGTAAGGTTTATACACCACTGAAAATATACTGTCAATAGATCCTCCTAAATATTACACACTGAACCTTTAAAAAAAAAACAAAGGGCAAAAGCAAGGTAGGTCTCACTACATGTTTTGCACAGAAACTGCTGATTATACTCATGTGAGTGAGGAAACATTGAGAGGCAGATTGTTTCTCTTGAAAAGCAATTGTCAGTCACACATATTGGTTTAACCTGAGAAAAGATGTCTTTATCTGTTGAACTTGTATCAGCAGAGGCTTTCAGGTTCACATCTTTCACCACATTAACAATAGTAATCTTAATGAAGACTGAAGTGCCAGACTTTGTTCGTCAGAGCAGCTGAAACACTTGGACTCATTCCATCCAATGCCAAACATCAATAATCCCTTTCTGGCTTTGGACCAGTTTTGTCTCTTCACACTCTCAAAGGGTTTAAACAGTCTTTCAGGATCAGGCTCTCCAATGCATATTGTACCTGTGAATCACTGGACCGCCCACCCACCTGCTTCAGTTCATTACCAGACTGAAGAAAAGGTAGAGGCCTGTAGACAGAGCATGAAGGGACACTTTTATAAATGGGAAATGGATGAATCCATAAATCTGCCTTATTCATGCAGTGCCGCAGGGCTAAGTAATTAAATAAGTCTTGTGCCAGTTGGCACAGACCCACCACAGACTCCCCTCCTCCGATAGATCTAGCCGGGCAAACAACCGGGCAGCTTAATAATTTCCTTTGTTGCTGGTTAATTGGCTTTCTGTGGCGTCTGCGATCGCCATTTGCATTACACAACAACAGAGAGACCAAGGAAGTCTTCGTATCGTCAAAAAAGAGACAAGATTTACGCCATCTGTCACAAAGGAAAATGCTTGAATGGTGCTTAAAAGAGAGGACATTATTTTAAAAATGTATTACTATGAACAAAAACTCTCACTTAACCATATTAATAGGGTAAACTCAGCTCTGAAAACAATAAAGCACATGGACACACACAACCACACACACAATAACACAGACATCTGTTGCTGCTTTGGGGAATGTTTATCCTCAGGAATGTTAGGTAATTAAAATTCCCCATTACTTGCTGTTTTTCAATTAAAACCAACTCCACCCTTACACCCTCAAAACTCAAGTGTCCTGAATTTGTTGAATTCAGTTAAAAAAAAGTTCATATAGAGGTGACTCACCAGTCTGTTGTCAAACAGTGCTCGCTCACTGGTTAATGTCCCAAAAATTGTGGACTGAAGAGAGGAAAAAGAAGGTTCTGTTACTTTCATGCACACACCAAAAACATGGTAAGAAATCATCAATCATTGGTTTTCATCAGCAACACTTTCAACCTCTCACACATCAGGTATGATGCGCTCATTTTATGCACTGTGGCAGGAAAATTCACACAGTTATTGATTTTCCAAGGAAAGTTAACTGAGCATGCTTGCTTTTTCTTCAAACAGCCTTCAAATCAATTATTAGTAATTAAACCTGGACTTAGGTTCTGTAATACAACACGCAGATTTCTGAAGTGGCTTTTGAGTTTTGATACTATAGAAGTTTTGTGGCTGAGAGGGAAAATACAGCAAGTCCATGTGCCTTTTAATTTTACAAACTAGATCCAACTTTCCATAGAGGACTGTGGACTTTTACAGACAGTCTGAAGTATGTTTATGCATCTCCATTTAATGAGGTTTTTTGATGAGAAAATCTTCAAGGTGGAGGCCTGGTGGAGCTGAAGCAGAGCAAGAAAACGCTCTTGTCTCAGACAAGTCTGTCGGACAAAACTGATCCAACAAGGTAAAACAAATAAATCTTTTGGCACGAGGCAGCAACCGAGCAGAATCCTGCTGAGCTGTGGGCATTTTAGCTAGAGCAAAATAATGACACTAATAAAAAATCCAAATTTATTACGGCGGGACAGGTGCCTTTGCCGAGAGTAATGGTAGTCATCTACGTTTAATGTGGACCTGAAAGTGGGCGGCACGTACAGGCTAATTAGTTGAAGTTTAAACACAGAAAGAGCCGACAGAGCAGAAATAACTGCTTCCCTTTGCAAGTCAGACGTTGACCCGACACTGAACAAAGAGACGTATACCAGCCAGATCGCAGGGTGTTTCTCCACACATATAGTCTCTACACGCACAGACATAACTGGATTAAAAGAAACAAGGCAGGCTCTCCGAACCAAGCATTTAATTAACAGTATTTGTCCCTGAATTCAGAGGCAAAGAGATGAGACAATAAACAAATATTTCCTTTCTCTTTGCATGGAGGAATAATGGAGCACAAACAAAAGCCATTTCACAGACTCCTGATTCAGCTCACTTGTGATTAGCATCCACAACTCTTGAGTTTTACAAATTAATCAGAATAAAAAGGTACATTCTTCTTTTTGTACATCTTAAGGACACAAAATCCTAACACCACCTTTCCCTGAGTAGGAAGAAGTCCACACGCAAAAGTAAACTTTCCCATCTCCGCTCTCTTTTCCAGCAGAGTGAAAAATAACTGAAAATGACCCTGCAGCACCCACTTCCATCGTCTGCTGTCAGGGTGGGCATTTGCTCAACTTTAATCTCCTCAAGTTGAGCACTGGCAGGGATTTATGGGTAAAAGCCTACAGCTGCATGCTGTTGCATAACTCAGGCCTGTTAGCCAACCTGTTTCTCTGTGACACAGAAACAGGAAATCAATGGGAAAGGCCAATTTGATGTTGCCACACAAGATGTTGTATTTATTCTCCTTTTAGTAGAGGTAGCATTGTGTGAGTGTGCGTTGGGTTTAGTGTAGGTGTGTACATACATGCATTTGTTTGCGTGTCACCATGCTTCTGCAGAAGAATTGACCTAAAGATATTTTTACTGAATAATAGAGTCAAACGTATGATGCTGAGAGAAAAAAAGGAAAATTCTTCTCAGGAAATGATTTGTGTGATGCTATAATAATGTATAGAGGAAATCCTCTTAAACCATATCAGCGAATCATGGTTTTAACTGATTAAATCCTGGAGGTTGCAAGCCGTTTGCATTATCTAGGCTCAAGAGATCAACTAATATTTCAAAAATTCTGAATACAGCCTCATTTCACTGTACAAGGCAGCCTACATGAGCCTTTATACAGAACTGCAGCAGACCATGCTGGCAGGAATAATTCCCAAAACCAAAAGGCACGTAATGACCAATATAAATTACAAGCTGGTTGGATAATACCCACAGAACTGGTCCATTTTTGCTCTTTATCAGATGGCCTCTTGCGTTGGGAGTGGACATTTTGTCTTGGCGTGACCAGTGTAATCTCAGACCTTTTTGACCCTGTGCTGTGCCAGCATACTAGCTGTTCCCTCACTTATCCTTATTAGTTATTAATACAAGCGCTGGCTGAGTTCCATGAATAATTTATGGGGTAGTGCAGAGACTAATTGAAAAGAAAGAACAGATTGTGGTAAAGGTCATCTATTCAGTGTGCTTTTTAGGAATTATGAGGAGGAAGCAGTGAGGGCTGTTGAAAGAAAAGTCACATGGTTATTTTTTCGGACTGCAGCCATTGGCAGGGCATCCATAAACATCCTGAATATGAAGTAATCCTATTTAAGTGCTAAATTCATTAACACGGTTACAGAGCTAGTGTTTCTGTGCCACCATCCAATGTCTGTCCTCAGAACATCACATCAAACCGCATGCAGTAATTAGCAAAGCTAATGTTATTGTTACAAAATATTTCCCTGGATTTTGTACAATTTGTGCAGTAATAAAATGTTTGGACTGATTCAATTCTACTCTGCATCACAAAGCCAGCCCTCACAGCCAGAAGTAATGACTTTCTATAAAAAAGGTGATATTGTGATATTTCCAAAGAGTCCCATACTCTGGGTACATGGACTGTGAGTTAAACGAATGGAAACATCCAACCCGGTGGGTTATTTGGAAGAGCAAAGCATATCATCCCTGGCCATTTCCACACCAGTATTACTGCTGACAATTTTTATTGTCAAAGTCGTCTAAGGTGGAGAAGTGAGAAAGAGATTGAGAGAAAGAAAGTAAAACGGGGAGAGACAAAGAAAAGATGTCATGAGGAAGCAATAAACACACCAAGAGTGAACAACACAAACCTTAGCAGGAACCCTTTAGACCATCCGCCGTGAAGCTCATCACTTTCCTTTTCAGTCATAAGATGATTGCTTTTGGGACGTGGCCCTCAAAGCAGTACTACTACCTGTGACCTTTGACCTGTGACATCTTACAACCACAAAGCTGCTGAAAGAAGATGACCGCCGGGAGACCTCTGATCTATGACATGTGACATAAACTCAGCATCATTATCTTGATGACAGGGACGTGTCCTGAATTCGAGGTGAACCCGTAAAGTTGGATTTTCATGTTTACAACCAAATGGAAACCCATAGCCTCTGACCCCACTGACCACTCCTCTTCATCCTAAATGATTAGTCCTGCAAAGTCAAGTTGCATTCTATTGTCCACATACACTATGTCTAATTGGCAATCTGGCTTTATCTACCTGCACCACAAAACAAAAGAATCAGCCGACCGGGGTCTACCAGAGCATGCACCAACAACCGCGAGGGCTGTGTTAGCGGTGAGTTGGTCATTCGTCACGTTAAATACATGACTTAAATAATAATAAATATAGCCCCCATCACTTCTCCTCTCTTGAAAACATTACTTGATAACCCTCCTTTTTTAAATTGCCCTCTCCCGGCTTCCTCCTGGGTCCTAGTAGTATTAATGTTACAGTAGTTGAGTGTTGGAGGCTACGTTGCTGACAGACTTGATTATAGATCTATTTCTGAGACATGGGGCAGTTCTAGTGAACAGTCACATAATTTCTCCCTAGTTCATCACTTCAACAAGTATCTAGCATGGCTTACTGTAAGTCCTTCCTGTAGACAGTCATGTAGTATTAGATGCATTCAAGAGCAGCGTTTCTTCTGGGTCACTGTGTCATAGATGGTTGGCGAGAAATGGTTTCTCATAAATTAAAGAGTGCTGGTGATGGGATAAACTAGATGTGAATATGCTACATTGAAAATAGTCATTGTGGCAGATTATGTGCAAGGTAATACCTACTGCGCGACAAAAAAATATTGCAGGACAGCCCTGTTTATCATTATAATGTAAGATAATTGTAATGACATGAGTAATATGTGGTATTGTTAGTACTAGTAGTAGTACATTAGTATTTTTTTATTTACAGTTTCTGGCAGCGTCACACAATAGACTACATACACTGCTTCCTTTAATGTTCATTAGTAGTAGTCTTCCATAGTTTATAATGGATGTTCTTTAAATCTTTTTTTGTAGTTTTAACACGTATTTATCCAAAATTTTGTTGTACTTTTGTTTAGCATGTTGTTATCTTGGTGAGGTTTAATAAGAACAAATGTTAGGGATAATCTTTGTTTATGTTATGTGTTTCTAAAAGGAAGGGGGAAAAAGAATATGAGCTGATATATCGGCATATCAGATTTTAAAATCCTCAGATATCTAAATCGGCATCGGTTGGGCTCTAATGTTGAAATTTGGATTAAGAGGTCTTCTAACCTGCATATGACCAAAGCCCCTTGAGTTCAGACTGAATTCTTCAATGCTAGTCTACTGACCAACTGTTTTCATTGTTTCTATTGCTTGCTTGTGGTAAGTAAGTTGCTGGTGTATGACATGATATTTCAGTCAGGTTTCTTCAATTCTGATTTAAAATTTTAAATAGTAGCCAAATGTTTAATGAGCTACTCTGTTATCAGCTGCTCCAACGGCTATATTATACATAAAAAGTTACAGTGTTCAGTCAGGTGTTGTATAAGAATGGAAGCCAAGCCGTTCAGTACAGATTTAGTTAAATGTCTGGAGGACCATCCACTACAAAGGAATTTCAGCTTACGTAACAACAACCATCTAAAAAAAAAAAGACGGGCAGCCCGTGCCGGCACAGATTAGGTCAAGAGTACATAGGACAAAACACCATCTTAATCCCCAAATACTATATACTATCTCTTTGGCTCCATTTATGCTGCGTCTGAATGAATTGTAATCTTCATCCGATCTCAAAGCAATTTCCAGGCCAGTGTTCTTCAACTTTAGTACTGCCATTTTTTTGCAGTGCATGGAATCCTGAGATGTCAGATAACTTTCGCCTTATCTGTACAATATGCTGCCCACATGTCTTGAGAGGGTGTCATGTGATGCTGTTTATGTAATTTCTGGACAGCTGCCCCTGCCCTAGTTTGAAAAGA